AGTGGGAAGAATGCCCCTTACATTGGTGGTCAGTGGAAGAATGCTCCTTACATTGGAGATCAGTGGGAAGAATGCTCCTTACATTGGTGGTCAGTGGGAAGAATGCTCCTTACATTGGTGATCAGTGGGAAGAAATGCTCCTTACATTGGTGGTCAGTGGGAAGAATGCTCCTTACATTCGTGGTCAGTGGAAGAATGCTCCTTACATTGGAGATCAGTGGGAAGAATGCTCCTTACATTGGTGGTCAGTGGGAAGAATGCTCCTTACATTCGTGGTCATTGGGAAGAATGCTCCTTACATTCGTGGTCATTGGGAAGAATGCTCCTGACATTCGTGGTCATTGGCAAGAATAACTTCCTTACAGATAGCTAAAATGATCAATGGTGTCAGTGGGAACTTATCTGAGAGGCAGAAAGTTCTCATTGCTCAAGGAACCCCTAGCACCCTCTGGAGGAACCCTGATTGAGAAACCCTGGTCTAATGTTATATTCCTGGCTTTGCAGCCACCATCAATCTTGCAACTCATCGGTATTAGTCATTGCCAAAATAAACATACGCCTTATATGAATTAATCGGCACCTATACATTACTGCAGCTTCCTTCCAAAGACTTGGCATTCTTTGCCGACTTTGGAATTTCCGCATTACGTCTATGGTTATGTAGGTGCCCCGCCCCCGTCAAGCTTTGTCATTTTCAGTGGTGTAATTATTTGATTGCAATGGGTGGCTCTTCCCCTAAACCCGCCACGTCCTACATTCTGTCACCCAGATAATGTGGAATCAACCGACCTTTCACTATACTGCGCACTATAGTGTTTGTCTTTTTTTCAGATACTTCACATTTGTTGACTTAAAAGCAACTCCGGGCCCTTCAGGTCTTCACTCTGAAGGAATAGTTAAGTGCAGAGCTAATGCTGGGCTTTATTATTTCGAATGTATGGATTCCATTAAAAGCAACACAACAGAAGTTACAGATCAGTCAGACAGCAATACGTTTCAACCAAACTGGGTTTTGTTCCACAAGGACAGGGCTCTCTAGGTCTTCAGTTTGCAAAAATAGTTAAGTGCAGAGCTAATGCTGGGCTTTCCTATTTCACATTTTTTTTATTCCATTAAAATCAACAAAACAGAAGTTACAGATCAGTCAGATGTCAATGCATGTCAACCCAACGGGGTCTTGAGTCACAAGGTCAGGGCCCTCTAGGTCTTCACCCTGCATGAATAGTTAAGTGCAGAGCTAATGCTGGGCTTTCCTATTTCACATATATTGATTGCATTAAAAGCAACGCAACAGAAATTACAGATCAGTGAAACAGTGGGGAGTTTTGATCCAACTGGGTCTTATGCCACAAATACAGGGATCTCTAGGTATTCATTCTACAGGAGGTAGTTAAATGCAGAGCAAATGCAGAGCTAATGCTGGGTTTTCCTATTACCTATTTATTGATTCCATTAAAAGCAACACAACAGAAGTTACAGATCAGTCAGATGTCGATGCATGTCAACCCAATGGGGTCTTGAGTCACAAGGTCAGGGCCCTCCAGGTTTTCACCCTGCATGAATAGTTAAGTGCAGAGCTAATGCTGGGCTTTCCTATTTCACATGTATTGGATTGTATTAAAAGCAATACAACAGAAGTTACAGATCAGTCAGAGAGTGAGGAGTTTTGATCCAACTGGGTCTTATTCCACAAATACAGGACTCTCTAGGTCTTCATTCTGCGGAGGTAGTTAAATGCCGAGCGAATGCTGGGCTTTCCCATTTTAGATTTATTGATTCCATTAAAAGCAACACAACAGAAGTTGCAGACTAGTCAGATGGCAATTCATATTAACCCAACTGGGTCTTGAGTCACAAGGTCAGTGTCCTCTAGGTCTTTACTCTGCAAGAATAGCTAAGTGCAAAGCTAATACTGGGCTTTCCAATGGCACATTTATTAATTCCATTAAAGGCAACAGATCAGTCAGATGGCGCCCCTTCCTTTTCTGCCACCAAACCTTTCTTCCTCCTCTCTCAGCAGTTCCCCTGACAGATCCTGTGAGTAAAACTGTTCCCATAGACCTCTCTGGATAATATTTTATGGAGTCCACTTAAAGTCAACCTCCCCCCCCCCAATAAACCTGACAACATTAACACAATAGGGTTGATTTACTAAAACTGGAGAGTGCAAAATCTGGTGCAGCTCTGAATAGAAACCAATCGGCTTCCAGGGTTTTTTCGTCAAAGCTTAACTGTACTAGCTGAAGTTAGAAGCTGATTGGCTACCATGCACAAATGCACCAGATTTTGCACTTTCCAGTTTTAGTAAATCAGCCCTAATGCATCATGTAAAAGTAAATGTCAATATCATATTAACTTCCTTCTCGAACTGCTTCCCCATTCTTTATAGTCTGCCTCCTCCGTGGATCAAAAACGCGCAGCGTTTGGTTTTTGTTTTTAAAAGATGAATGGTTCATGCAAAAGATCACACTGCAATTGAGAAACAAGATCTTACTAGAAGGCTGAAAGGGAATTCCTGTGAGAGAGCTGGCAAATAGATGTGCGCATACGCACAGAAATGCACGATCACGCACACGCACGGCGAAGATTGGCACCAGACGGACTATTTAAAAGGTGCCTCTGCCTGTGCTGAGTGCTGACTGGTCTTCAGCTGTTCCCTGTTTCCTGCTCGTTCCTGTTTGATTTCCTTGTTGCTGACCCGGCTTGTTTCTGACCTGACTCTGATTATTCTCCTGCTTGATACTGGTTCCTGACTTCGGCTCGCTTATGATTTGGTACCTCGCTGTCCGCCCGTTGATGACCCGGCTATTCCTTTGACACCGCTCCTGTCTCCCATCCCTGCTTCCTGCCTTGCTCTGGTGCACACCTGGCGATCTAACATACCAGCTCTGCATATTACTACTGTGCCTGAATCGGAGGTTCATCATTCTTCCAAGGTCACCAACCACAAGAGCTGCAAACAACATCTACTGGCGCTCTTGTCCCCCTGGTCCCTAGACACCCTCTGTTCCACCTCCAGTGGGGTCAGGGCTAGTGACACAAGTGAGGCCGACCTCATCATTTCAGTCTCCTATCAGGTACGTGACAAAGGCACTGGTGACATAGCCTTCACCAGTGCCTCTCTATACGAGGTAGGGGGAAAAAAGGGAAGTTTGAAACCAAAATGTTGGAATTTGGAGAGAACTTGGGATCAGCATGCGTGCTCCACCACTTTTAGCCTTCATGAAGATTCCAAGCCCTAATGAAGGAGAGCATTGGCCCCCAACATGCGTTGGCTTTTTCTATGTGATGATATTATGAACCAATAAAACGACTTGGACTCTTTCATCATCTGGTGTTTCTTTCGTGTTTTATACTCTGAAGGGCTACAGAACAGGTCAATTTATTGGAGATCGGAGAGATAAAGCTCCACAAAGGAAGTGTGGTGGTCAGGGGAGCCGTTGGCCAGTACTATGCATAAATTCTGAATAAAGGCTGGAAATTTTAGGACCTGTCAACCTTCTTCTTTGGTTGATATTTACTTCATCATGTCGCTATGTTACCAATTCCTGCAACCAGCAGTGAGAATTTAGCCATGAGTCAAAAGTCAATGAATATTTATGGATTCCTACCAGCTAAAAACTAGAATTCATCCGAGAGCTTCCAGGATATGTACTGAAAGAGGCGCGCTACTTTGTTTTCATTACTTGTCAGTATGAAGAGCGGAAGTTCATGTCTTTAACTGTAATTAAAAGTATTTATAGTGATCTATATTATTAGGAAGTCTCCTCTTCTCTAGAAGATACCAAATCCCGAGCTTTCTGGGGAACAGATGCCGGATGCGTGACCAACGTAACAAAACATTTACTTTAATATCACCCATTTGGAACCAAATTAGAGCCGATAATCAGCAAATACACAGCGGAGGAGTCCGGATGAATGGCTTAACCCCCTCAATGCCAGCATCACAACCCCTATCTGTCCAGGCCATTTTTCAGTGCTTTGATACTTTGACTGACAATGACTTATATATCATGCAGCACTGGACACTAAATTCATTTTATATATATATATATATATACTATGATAATATATATATATTATAATATATATATACATAAACAGCAATTTATATATATATATATATATATAAATATCCCACACAATATATATATCCAACACATATTTATATATACTATATACATACATATATATATATACACATGCATATATATAAATATATAAAATATATATAAATACACACACACATATTATATATATATAATATACACATACATATATATACACATACATATATATACATACACATATATATAAATACACACACACATATATATATAATATACACACATATATATATAAAATATACAAAATTATACATAATACATACATATATATACATATAAATATATATACACATATATATATACCATACATATAAAAATACACATATATAAAAATATACAACATATATATATATATATATAAAACATAATATAAATAAATATATATAAATAATAACCACATAATACTATATATATAAAATACATATATATATATAAAAATATATATATATAAATATACACATACAATATATAAATACATATATATAAATATAAATACACATATATATAAAATATATATATATATAATAATATATATAAATATATATATATATATAATAAATAAAATAAATACAAATATATATAAAAATAATATATATATATACATACATAATATATATAATATAATATATATAATACATAAATATATATAAATAATATATATATAAATAAAAATTTTTTTTTTTTTTTTTTTTTTTTTTCGAGAAGTGACCACCTTAAATTGTTAAAAAAGAGTCACTATGTTGCTCCTGATGCAGATAATTATCTTCTAAATACAGTGTTAAATCTATTGCTGCCACTTTCCCTCAGAAATCCAAAAATTAAATAGTATCACCCCTAATCCAGTGAATACAAGCGGAGCATACATTTCATAATGTTAAAAAAAAAACCCCTTCCGCCGGCACCCTCCCGCCCTTTAAGAGTTTCAGACGCCGGGAGGGCGGGGCGTGGTTTAGAGATCATGTGACTGCCGTGACGCATTGTCACGGCGGTCACATGATCGGTAAAGGTCCCGATCGAAAGAGCAGACCGGGACCTTTCCGCGAGTACCGACAATGCGTGCTGGGAGCACTCAGGGCGCGCGCTCTCAGCACATGTTTTTTCTTACATGAACGCAAATGTGCGGCCGCTCGGCGTCTAGGCCCAGACGCCGGGAGGCCGCACATTTGTGTGCGGCCGGCGTAAAGGGGTTAAACATCAATTAACATTCATATATTGTGTCATTCTTTGTCTTCACCATTATTAAAAAAACAGAAAATACATAAAAAAAAAAATTATAATAAAACAAAAAAAGTGACTATG